CCCTAGACACAGGTACAGATACCTGGGTCACTAAAGCCCTTGGCACCCTAGACACAGGCACAGATACCTGGGTCACTGAAGCCCTTGGCCCTCTAGACACACTCATAGATAACCTGGGTCACTGAAGCCTGACATATACTTTGCAGGTAAGGAAGTTGTTGGCTACTTACCAGTGGAGTTCTGATTCAAAACTAATTGGCCGAGAGTTCCTGATGGGTGGGTGTGGGGTGCTAGAAAGATCCTTGGCCTAGGAGTTAGGAGCTGAGGGAGGCAAGCTCTTTTTTAGTTACCTATAATAGTTATAGGGCTACGTTCCCAGAGACAAGGGATATATGAAGGCCCTGATGTCGTGAAGCAGATGTGCCCTCATTGGCATACTGTGGCTACACTGGCCACTCCTCCTCTTTATAACCTCAGCTTTTAAAGTATTTGTTTATTTGCGGTGCAAGAGATTGAACCCAGCCCCTTGTGAACCTAAGCAAGCACTCTACTACTGAACTTTTCTGAGACAGAGTTTTGTTATGTTTCTCAGGGTTGTCTTGAACTCATAACCTTCCTGTCTCTGCTTTGGGAGAATTGAGATTGCAAGCGTGTGCTACCATATCTGGTTGTTATTCATAGACCAACGCAGTACCTGTTACTGTACAGGTAAATTATGAAGACTAAATAAAATTGACCTATGAAGGCCATTAGAAATAGGCAGGCACCACCCAGAAGTCCATGTAAGTCTTTGCTTTTGAGGTCCTGCTGCTTCAGGAGTTTCTGGGTGGTTTGTTCTATCTCTGTGGGCATTTTCCTTCATTGGAATGAATGGCATCTTCACATAGACCTTCCCCTGGGCTCAGTACAGTGCTGAGAATGTGCCTTGGGAAGGTTGGGCCTGGGAAGCCAATGGCCACGGAAAAGGATAATGAGGACATTGGATGGGGCTGGGAGGAGAATACCCTGGACAGGTATCAGAGAAGCCTCTGTGGGCTAGGGGTAGCAGGGCCACAAGTCTGACCTTGGAGTTGAAGAAGAATCAAATCCTTCCATAATTAGGTAGTGTTGGGGGGGCACCACTACAGAAAGCATACTGTACCCACCTTTCCTATCTGGAACTGAGACTGTCATTGACTTAGCAAGAGCCTCAGTAAGCCGAGGCATGTGAAGTCATCTGAAGCATGCCCAGGACTCCTGTGATCATCTCTTCTCCCTATCTCTCATGGTACCATGGACCTTCTGATGCCTAGGGGATGGCCTTGCCTGCCCCTGGATTTCCCCTAGGATAGGAACAAGACTTAACCTTTTTTGATAGTCACAGTACCACTAAGATGTCATCTGATATCCTGTAATCATATATAGTAATACCGGGGAACACAAAATGTCTTCTATTTATTTAGGGGGTTCTTAGAGTAGGAAGAATTTTGAACTCAAAAGGAGAGACTTGAAGATGTGTGTGTGTGTGTGTGTGTGTGTGTGTGTGTGTGTGTGTGTGTGTGTGTGTGTGTCTGTGTCTGTGTCTTATGTATTGTACTCATGTGTGGCATGACACTAATATAGAGAGAGGTCAGAGGAAAGCTTGTAGGAGTTGGTTCTGTCCTCCCACCATCTGGGGATGACACTCAGATCATCAGACTTAGCGGCAAGTCCCTCTGCCCAATGAGCCATCTTGTAGACCCTGCTTGTTTTGGGCCATCTAGCCACTCAATTCTCTCTTCTCCACACACTGAGAGTTTTCTGAGTGCCAAGTGTTTTGCATTTCTGTCTCATGGAATTTCCATGACAACCCATTTCACAGATGAAGCCAAGGCTTATGGAGAGGAAATAATTGTCTGAGGTCACTCAGCGGATAAGAGACAAAACTGGGATTCGGGCCTGGAATGAAGCCAAGGGCTGTGGTCATCTCCCCCACTGCTTCCTTGGCTTCTGGCCCTGGCTAGAGGGGAAGCCAATGGTGATTTAGCTTGAAGGAAGATCATAGTCTACGAGAAAAGGAAAGTGGCTAGGAGGTCTGTCGGGGAGAGGTAAGAAGTCTAAAAAGATTTTATAAATAAGGCTACATCTGGAGCAAGCAGAGTTGTTCCAGCTGCCTGGTACTGGTACTGATGCCCTCTGACAGACTGCAAGTTGCACAGGCCTGGGAGCTCACATTGCTTCGTTATCTGGGCAGTGCAACCATGGGCAGAATCGTGATGAAATGAATTTGGCCGTGAAGCCAGACCACTCTCTACCACCCTTTGTACTAGGCCACCCCTCCAGTCATCGACACTGAAGTCCTGCCACCCTGGATGGAATCTCAAAGCCTCCTCATGTGGCTGACTGGGGCTTGGCCGGAGCTTTGCAGCCATCTGCTCATTGTGCAAAGCTTTGTTGCTTTTGGCGTGTTTAACGGCTTCATTTCTATGTTTCGGTTGGGAAATGCAGTTCGCTAGCATTGAGGGAGGGAGCAGTGGGTGCTGAAAGGGCTTCTGATAGCTATCTTGAATGTTAATATCCTAATACAGTTTACGGTCGATGACCTGTCCTCCCTGCTATGAGTCCTCACTCCCCTTCTGCAGAGATAGGCTCCATGCCCGCCTTTGGATAGGCCTCGCTGCCCATCTCATTCCCTTGCTGCCCTCCTCCCTGCCTTTCACAGATAGCATTGTGCCTCACCAATACAGTCAGCAGTCGTGGGAAATCTTTGACTTGGAGGATATGAGAAAGTGTTTCGTTTTGTTTGGGGGTTAGTGGAGATGATCTAATCTCCAAAAGGCAGACATTATTTGAATTCCGTTCTCGAGGGTCAAAAGGGCTCCTGATCATTTTGAACTTTGTCAGGGACAGAATTCTGGTTTAGCGCTGTTCAGCAGGGCCCACGACTGGTTTTTCTGTTTGTAATTCCGTGCCAGGGATGGAGTATGTTTATGATGGGGTCATATGAGTGTTTGAGAGCTCTGGGGAAACTTTGCTTTATGCACACATTTAAAATCATGAACTCTTGAGGTGGAATGATGTGAAAAAACATCATGTGGGATCCCCAGTTGGGGATGTGGCTCTCATCTGGAGCCCAGACTCAGACAAGTGGATCCTGTGGTGTCCCCAAATGTGGCCCAAATCTGCTCACTGCCCTTCTTCACTCTCTGACCGGAGTGCATGAACTTCCTCCAGTTACCTCATTCATGGGAGATCGCTTGATGCAAATGAAAATGTGAACCAGGTAGTCAGCATTCTCAGCCATGAGGTGCTAAGTCTGGCTGTGCAGCAGGGAAACCTTGACTCTGGAAAGGGTATGGGTGACCTGGAGAGAGCACCCATTCAACTTGATTTTCTTTGCCTCACGCAGGTGCTCATATTAGATGTTCACTGTGTGGCCACCTCGGCCTTCCTCTTCCAGTCTTGTGCAATCGCTACTTCGTACAAATCACAAGTCTGTTTTCCTCCTTGGGCATGAAGGCTTGAAGGGGTGAAGGATACAGAACATGCTTTAGAATCTAGAGCTGTTTCCCACCTCCACAAATGGGTATTGGGCGTTTTCTGGCCAAGAGAAGTGAGTCGAGGTTGGAAATGTGGCAGGGAAGATAACTGCATGGACACTGTGCGACAGTTTAATAAAAACTGTGATTAGGATGCGTCTGGTGTGCTGTGGGAACCCGGAGGAGGGAGGAATGCAGCCTGATGGGAGTATCTGGAAAAGCTTCAGAGAGGAGGCATTCATTGTCCTTGACCTCGAAGGATCAGAAGACGTCCACCGAGCTGCCTTCTCCTAAGAATTACTCGCTAAGCATGCACTGCTCTTTGCTGGGAACGGTGGAAAAATGACAGGAAGGGCTGGTGGTTCCTGTCCTTAGGAAATGCACAACTTGTTGGGGAGTGAGCCTGGCACTGCCGAGCCCATTGGAACTCTGTGTATACAGATGGACGGTGGGGGTGGGAGAGCGTCATGGTGTGGACTTGGAGATCCAAGGCTTCCCGAGTTACTACTCTCCCATATGGAAAGCACACTTTCTGCAGGAAGAGTTCCTGCCTTGCAGTGATGTCTTAAGAGGTCCAGTCTGCTGGTTCCCATCCCCCTGCCTGGTTTCATCGACCTGGTTCTGTATAGGAGTTAGCTGAGCTCCAGTAGGGGTGGGAGCAAGTTGGGCATGGAAAGAGACACCATTGGTAAGGACTTAGAAGTACCGGTTCTCCTTATAAGCCAGCTGGCATCTGCGGATCACAAAACACCCATATAGCCAACTCATGACCTAAGTCTGAGGGGGTCAGGGTAAAGTGAGGTGCACTTTCTGAGCCTTTGTTTTCCTTGTTTCTTCTCAAACTGCTCTTCTCTATCGCTCTCAGGATCCTTCGATGTTTGCTCATCGTTTATTTTCTCCCTCTTATTAGCCCGGCTCATCGCTGTTCTGTTTTCTTAACATTATAGTGAGATTGGAATCACTGAGAACAGGAGTGGCATCTAACATGTCTCTTGCTCTCCCGAGAAGCAGTTATATAGAATAAAGGACACAAGTTCCCGTGGGTGATCTCGGCATCGAATCCCAGCACTGCCACTTAGCTTAGACCTTGGAGCAGTTTCCTTATCTGTAGAAGGCGATGACACAAAGCCTTCCAGCCTCCATGCAGTTGACCTGGTAGGCTGGGCGATTCTCAGCTGTGGAGACTGTCTTATACCCTGTGGCTTCCCTGGCATCTCTACCTTCAGATGCCAGTTATGGCATTCTCTCTGCCAGTCATGTCTAGACAGTCATGCCTCTAGAAAGTCATCAAGTGTCCATTGGGAAGCAAGATCCCTCCCAGTTTAAGACCGCTGATGGATGCTCCCTTCTGGGTGTGCTTCGGACCTCCCAGTACAGCATGGTAGATGTTCTGTCATCGTCGGATGCTCTTTCATTCCTAATTCACCTCGCTCTTGGCACACTGTGGGCTGATGAATGCATGGAGCTGCGACTCTTTGTTACAACAGTTCAGGGTGGGAATGTGGAACCCTCACACTGCCCAGCCGTGTACTAACAGACCCACTGTCGTCTTCTTACTTGCAGATTGATCTGGAGCCAGAAGGAAAAGTGTATGTGATCATCGATCTCTCGGGGTCATCAGGTGAAGGTAGGAGAGCATGACCTCTTACCCTTGTCCTGTGTGTCAAGCCTTGGTCTTCTGGGTCTCCCCCTTCCTGTTGTGGACAGGACATTAGCACAGTGACATTTAATTAGTTGGCATGCTTTAGCAGGAGAAGGTTATTTTGAAGATGCTGTGCCCGTGTACCAAAAGGAGCCAGCCATCTGTTACTGGTGGAGCAGAAGGAAATTTCAGACTTGCTGAGAGGCCAATAGCACAGGCATTTCCAAACAGCGTGTGCAGGCAGGACAGGTGTCGGCGGAGTGGCACCCTCTCCCAGGAGGCTTCTGTGGGCTTTGTGTTGTGTATGTTGAGAAGGAAGTAAAACCAGTTGGTCTAACGGTATTCAGAAATGAAACAAAGAGAGTGGCAGACTTTAGAATCTCATATTTTTGGATCATTTACAGGTTCATTTTACTAGTTATTTAAAAGGCAAATGAAGCCAATGAGATGAGACAACATAGGTTTTCTCTGATATTTATATTTTTCTTCTTTCTCCCTTTTGCATCCTCTTCTTTTGATTCCCCCCGCCCCCTTTGCTCACTTAATATCTTTTAAGTGCAGAATTTGAAGTGTGGGGGAGACTGAGCAGCCAGGGCGGAAGAGAAGACAAGGAAATGCAGCTTTGTCCGGACAGGTGCAAGGCAGTTATGGCGGACTTAAGCCCTAGACAGGGTAGTGAGTAAACAGGACTGAGTGCGTTGACTGGCCTCGTCTTTCCTCCCCTTCTCCTCTGTCTGTGGGCGGCGAGACAGAACAGTTGGTGGCAGTGGCCTGGCAGAGAGAACGGGAGACAGTAACTGCTTCCCCTTAGAGATGAGGGAAAGAAATGGTGTTTGGGGTCTTATCCCCAAGTGAGAGGTAGATGGACGTTCCTGTCCTTCAGCTCTCCCAGCTGGAAAACTTGGCTATTTCACAGACTCACAATCACACACACATACAGTCTCTAGGTTAATGTTGTGATGGGAGGAAACTTATGTAAGGTCAAAGGCTGTAAGCCAGTGGTTCTCAACCTGTGGGTCACAGCCCATTGCGTTCACATATCAGATACCCTGCATATCCGATATTTACATTATGATTTGTAGCAGCAGCAAAATGACAGTCATGAAGAAGTGTAGATGTAATTCTAAATGGTCTTATTAAATAAGAAACTCAGAGCCAAATAAAGAGTTAAATGCCCAGAGATGGAGCAGTAGCCAAGAGCTAAGACCACCTTATCTTACCACTCGCTGCCATCCTTCCCTTGAGAGAGACCCTCTTCCTGTGTCCTGTCTTTTTATTGCCTTTCTGTCCCGCCTTCTCATTGGCTGTAAACCCAACCATATGACTTCCTCGTCACCGCCTGTCTATACAGACCTCCAGGTCTCTATGGTAGGTACTGAGATTAAAGGTTCGGGTCACCGCTTGGCTGTGTCCTTGAACACACAGAGACTCTGCCTAACATGTGATCGGATTAAGTACATGTGCTACCACTGCCTGACCTCTATGTTGAATATTGTAGCTGTTCTGTTCTCTGACCCCAGATAAATTTATTAGGGTGCACAATATTTTGGGGAACACAATATCACCACAAAGAAGCAATGAAATAATTTTATGGCTGGGGCATCACCACAACACGAGGAACTGTATCAAAGGGTCTCAGCCTCAGGACGGTTGAGGACCGCTGCTCTAGGTTGACGTGTGATAGTGGTACCTGATAACTTTCATCTGGCTTATTCATTGTCAGTCTCGGCAGGTATTCAGAATATTTCCATAATCATGTGCATATGGAGACCACGCTAGAGCTGGGTCCTCTTTTAACAGATTTTGATGATTTGGCATAGGTTAAAAGCTTTAAGCATCCTTTCAAAATTGGTTTCTTACATATTCTGCTCTTTATTGCAATTATGTTTGGCATGCCCAACTTCCCTTCTCTGTTGTCAGCCAAGAATAGAATATGCTGTTGAAGAGTTGAGGATTTAACAATGTGTAGTATGAAATAGTTAGAACCTACAGAAGTAAAGGAAAATAAACCAGCCAGGTTAAGAAAAGCAGCTTATCCCAGCACAGGTGGTAATTACCCGAGGTCTCACCTACTCTGGGGGCTGAGGCAGGAAGACGCCTTGAACCCAAGAGGCCTGCACATTCAGGCCAGCTTGAAAAATAAGAAAAAATAATAAAACGAACAAAAGAGTGAAGGCTTGTAGTTGCCTTAAACATTGTTGGCATAGTATGTGAGCCCAGCTTATCAGACTTGAGAGTTTACAACAGTGTCCTGATTGTAGATGTTGGAAAAAATGTTTGATAAACAAAAATCAATTCCTTTTTTTCCTGTTCTTCCCCTAACCTTAATTATACATGCATTTCCTGTGCCAAGATGCTGGGTAACCAATGGCAGGCTTGAATTATTTTCTTTCTCCTCAAAAAGATTAACGGCCTGCAAAATTATAAACAACATTTTTTTTTTACATTAGAGAGAAAGGAGATGGACAATGAATGAATGAATAAATAAATCAGAAGCAATTGACTTTTTTTTTCATTTTGCTTCTATGCTTTATTGTACGCGAATACCCGAAGCAATTTTCATCGGGTTAAATTCTGAGTCCATTTTTTAAAAAAATCTCTTTCATCTAAAGAAAACAGAGTTTACTTTAGAAACGCTGACACATGCCAGGATCTGTAAAGTACTAGCATGTGTTGCTCTAAAGCAAAGCGGACTCTATTTTCCCTTTGCTGTTCTGGACTTGGGATTCCCTTCTGTGAGAGGTGGGTGGACGCTCCGTAATCTCGTGCTATGCTCCGTTTGTACTATAGTCATCTGTTCTCCAGTCCTGTGCCCTGGGCTGAAAGGGCTCTCGGTCTGGAGGTAGTTTTGGTTGTGAGGGTGAAAGAAAGACTCAGAGGAGACTAAACCACAGCTAGTCTGCAAGAGAGAAGTCCCAGAGAATCAATTGTCAAACTACCCTATTGCGCCGCAGACGACGAATTGTACTCTCAGGTCCTTGTCCCCTCCCTTTCTTGGGTGCAAAAGCTAATTGTGTTCTGTGAAACGGTGAGAGGAGAGTAACCAGGCCTAACTGAGGGTTCACTGCTCTATTACTCTACCCCAGCACCATTTCAGCAACCCTGTCTCCATGCTCCAGCCCCATCAACGGGGAGAACAAATCCATACATGTGGTACACATCTTACAACACACGCAGATTCCAAAGAGTATCTAGAAAGGTGTGGGGGTGACAGTATAAATACACCCCATTCTTCTAGGGTGTTCCAAAGGTTCTTTTTCTTGCTAACATGCTGTTAGGAAGCTTGGGTGTTTACATCCGCTGGAGCAGGATATAATGTGATTTCTAACTGTCTAATAAAATTCCACTACTTGCACATCCTGTGCAGGTCACCATAATGGGATTTGACTAGTGTGTGCTTTGGCTAAACCAGGGAATCTGACCCCAGATGTAAGGGGTCAGGCCAGATGGCCTGAAGGTCATTTCCGGTCATGTGATGTTATTCTTCAGTATAATAGACATCCGTCGGAGCTCATGGCCAAGAATGGGTAATATCTGCAGCTGATAGAAGGAGCTGAAGGAAATGGACTTTTGGGGGCATGTGTTGTCATAGATGTTTCACTAATATCACACCGAATTTTTGTGTGAGCCCCAGCCTGAGGCATCCCTTACTTTGACTTTCATCATGAATAGCAACCATTTGGCTCCCTGGTAAGCCTGGCACTATTGGCTCACCTGGTAATTAGGTCAAAGTATAATTAGCTCAGGGAACAGACATATGAACAGCAAATTAACTCTCAAATGTGTAAAAAATTGTTTCTTATTATGATCAAAAGTTACCATTTCTGCCTTTGCTGTCATCGGCATGTGGTTTATTCATTATAATAATATGGCAATGCTTCCTTATTTACAGGCCCTCTGGATGGGAGATGGTTAGGGCCTGACCTGTGGGGTCTTCTTCCTCTGTTTTTCATCCAGGGGCAGTGTTCATCTCAGATTGTTCAGAGTCTAAGCTGCAACAGAAATTGTAAGGAGTAGGCCCCATTGGATGTTGGGGTTACAAACCTGTGTCTGCAAAAATGTACAAAATCTACAATATAAGTTGAGGGACTTTTTCCCCCCTACAAACAGCATACACAGTTGAAACTGGTCCTGATGGAATTGTGTGTTGTGGAAGTGGAAGCTGAGAAGTGTACAGAATCTACAATATAAGTTGAGGGCTTACCCACCCCTCCTTTCTACAGTCACATGATGCTGAAAGTGCCTGGTGTCTTCTGTGGGAAAGCGCATGGCCCTAGGAGTCAGAACTAGCTTAGTTTCAGATTCCTTACCCAGAAGGTGGGGGTGGGGGCCATGCACTAGGGAATTGTATTTGGACATAGTTTTGGAGATTCCATTCTTGTCACTCGGTGTAAACCTAATCCAAACTGAAGCAACCTGGGGAAAGTGCTATGGAAGGATCGCGATCAGAACACAGCCTTGGGACAGCGTTCATGTATACAAAGACGCTCAGTAAATATTCAGAGCCTGGAGACCAAAGAGCAGGGAGGTGGGTGTAGTTCATCAGAGTCACTTGAGAGCAGCAGACAGGCTCTTCAGAGGGACAATGGGAGGGCAGGTTTCGCCGGGACCAAGAGCAGAGCCAGTGAAGGAGACGACCAACGGAACATGAGGATGTGTGCCAGGTCTAAGAGATTACTTCCTGTAGCATTAAGACCCAGATGTAGTTTACTCCTTCCTCTTCCTTCCTTCCCCTCCCACAAATGAAGCAGTCCCCAGCCAGACACTCCGGAGCATCCCACAGCCACTGCTTTGTGTCCTGAGTGTGTCAAGGTTAACCGCGTCTCTTGTTGGAGCCTGACTCCTCCCATCACCATTGGGCACAGAGTGAGAACACATGGCCTCCAGGCTCTCGCTGGCCCTGGGTAAAGCCCTTCATCTGTTTGAAGACAGTTAGTAAATCTCTCTTCTTCGCGGCAGAATCCATCAAATCCTTTAGCCTTTCT